GGTGGTAATATCTGGAAAAAAAATCCTGGTCCACTGTTGCCATGACAACAGCCAAAAAAGCTGATTTTTGAATACTTTCGCGCCAAATGTATCACCTCTAAGAGTCTTGTAATTGTAGCAGTGTTTAAAAGGCGGTAATCGTCACGCCCCACGCATGCGCGATATATGGGTCTCATATATACAAAAATGGCGACTTTGACTTTTGCGCAAGGTTGTCATCTTATCGAAATCTAGGTTAAAGGGTTAACTTGCGTGAATATAACGATAAAAGCAAAAGACACGCTAGTATTAAAGTGGCTTCAAAAGACTGAATGCTTTTACCGAACTTCGTATAAGGGGCCCAGTTTTAGCTTCACGTTCATGCCCTACTCTGGCAACAGCGGAGCGGATCGACAATCAGCCTACCGGCTTTTTTTGTATGAGTCTCACGCGATACTATTTTTCTTTAAATCGCGCCCTCTAGCGAGAAACCGCTTCTGTGACGTAACACATAAGCCGTTCGCTATCGTTTTGAATTGCAGCTATTGATCATTGAAGATTATGTTTGGGGAGATTTGGATATATTCCAGATGACATTGCCTTCACCCACGTCATTTTGACGCCACAGAAGCGTTTTATATCTAGTGAGCGCGACCAGGTTTAATCCCATCTTTTTCAAGCGTCGTGGTACACAGTATTGTATATGCGCTTCGAATAATAATATATTAGTTTGAGTTAGATGAATCGTTAAATTAGAGTGTTGTTGCGTGTTGGCTCGCTCCCCATAGAGAAAAAAACGCGTTTGGTACCGTTATTTCACATATGACCAATATAATGGAGCTACTTTCTCGTAACGTTATACGCAGTTTGCTCCGGGTATTTATAATATAAAATTAGTAAGCTGGTGTAGTAGCTGGTGTAGTAGTGTTTTAACACAGTTAAAAACATATCAATATATAATGTTACTCTATAAGGTAATAATTGGATGCAAGGAAGCAGTTCTCAATTAACCTTTAATAAGAAATGACCTGTGACGAATTGCTTGTGTGACGTCAATATCACATAAAGCCTCGCTGCTCAAAACGATGACTCTGTTGTGTTATGTAGGCGTTCGTCATTCAGGAAATCGCCAGAGAACGTGATTTGTTATTGACGTGAGGCCACAGGTCAACTTGGTTTCATTGATTACGTCACTGAAACGTCTCTGTAGCCAGAGAGCGCAACTTACAGAAATGGGGTATTTCAATATAATTCAAATACACAACATTTTTTCTTCATTTTCTGTGTTTAATGACAATGCACTAAAATTCATCATCTCATAAAAAATTAAATCATTTTCTGTTAGTAATTTATGTTTACAGTTGTGCATACTGCTTCGCTGGTATGGTCTCCCGGTTAATGTTCTTTGAGTTGAAATCATCAATGACAACCGTGACGTGTTCCCCGCAGCTAGTAGTAAGACATAGTACTGTTGCATACAATGGACATACGTTTATCATGTCGTAAATTCAGTCTCTCCATTCACACTGTCACAAGTTTGTGAATTCAGACATTGTCTTCAAGATCAAATCAAGATGTGCATTGAAACAATGTAGTCAATTACTTTAGTTGAGTCGTAAACAACTTGAATTAGACACATGTATCTCGTCGGAACAAACTTCAACTTTTCTTTACTTCCTTCTTCATATGCCACATACTTGAAGTGTGGTGGTATCTTTTTCTCATGGTTACGTGCATTGCTGCACGTAAACAAAACCCACAATCCACTACATGTGCTTTGCGTTTTTGAACGAGCAGCTGTATGCAGTTTTTAACATAAGATAATGTGAGGCTCCCATTTCCTTACGAAGTATGGATGGGATCCGAAAAAAGTCAATGAGATAAAAGGTTGTTTATGTTACATACATCACTGAGTGTACATCTCGATTGTCCTCGAGGTGTTTGCTAGAAATGAATAGACCTACTGTGTCTATATTAATATACACCTTTCTAAATAAACCGCGCCCTCTACCGACAGTGCCAGTCACAAAGACGTAAACTGGTGGTAGATTCGTAGAATACAATCATATGCGGTTAATATTCAGTAGTTCGTAACTTAGAATATAGCAAATCTCAGTAAACAGTTTTTTTTTTTAATTAATGGACGTCCACGTCACAAAGGCGCTTGTCGCTAGAGGGCGCGACGGATAGCACGTGTGTAATACATGCTGAAATTGTAAAATATAATGTAAGCAAAGGATGTTTTAATTACGTAATTACGTTTCCATATATCGAATATTATTACTTATTATAATATACCCGCATTTTTTCAATTGCCTGAATATGTCATTCTGTTTGGTTGAGGGCGTGTTTTTAATTATGCACGCCGATGGTAAATACACGGTTTTCCGTGTTCCGAATTATGCCCCAAACAGTGAGGTTAAATCCTTCTGTCAACTAAATCCGCCAAAAATAATGTGTTTTTTTCCTATGGATACAGCACGTAATGTCGAACATTCTCCAGAATTGTAGGTTCAAACGAGAAGCACGAGAATTTTGAGAATTACGCAAACGACGTCAGAACAATTAAGTTGTCTGCAGCATCTCGTTTGTGAACCCGAAAATGTTGTTGGTACTCAAAACCCAATCGGACCCGCAGTGCCATTCGCGTTTGTACTTGTTCCTGGGCTATTTTTTTTATTTAACCACGGATGTAAGTAAAATGTTTCGGGTACAGTATTACATTTGTACATGGTTGTTGTTACTTTCATAATATTTTTGTATCTCACTGAGTTGCATTTAAAATGAAGTTTGTATAATATAATATGAATAACCACGTGCACCCCAAGAGGCGAGTATATAACTCGATTTTGACCAGCATACTGCATATACACATTCAATATCTCGTGTGTAAAATTTGTCAAAAACACGTGTTATAATCGACTCTGGGTGGTTATTTCTTAATTAATAAATGTGCTTTCCCCATTACATTTTGAATAATTACAGTTTAGGTTAAAATGCATTCAAAGTAATTGACCATTTTCCGTTCACTGCGAGAATCACGCGTTGTGCGTGAAATCGAACGTAAAAACAGGACAAACAAAGGTCATAGCGTCGTAGTGGCGTCAAACATCGCGTGGGATTCCGTCGACAAACGCGAAAGTATTTTGGGGGATATTTCCATGCTTAATAATGTCATGTACACATTTGATGATGGTCAATTTCGATGAAGTAATGGTATTCGAAAGCAATATTTCTCTGTCGAAGATCGGCCGGTCGATCTGAGCTACGAAATAAAGAAATTCAAAATCACGTTCGACGCGCGTCTTTCATGCAACTCGCGAGATCTCGCAGTTGAACGGAAAATCACTTATTGAACGACTCGAAAAGTACCTGTTTCTATAAAATGCTTTGACAGAGACTCTGGGTCAACTCCATGGTTATAGTAATACTCGTATAACTAAATATTGCAGTAATATGAGAATAATTGCTTACATACATAAACAGCAGCTTCAAGGTATCACACCCGCATAATATTTAAAAAAAACTAAGCCATCAACATTTCGGAGTGTTTGCCCACAGTACGAAATATCTGTTTGAAGAAAACTGTCTGTCAAAAAGACAAAACATATCATTTGCGCGGAACAATTTCCATAGAAATCCATATTAAGACATTATTTCATAAAAATATACATATAGTATTAATCAGAATGTTATAATATTTCGAGACAACTACAATCAACCACCTTACTGATTTCATAATAACGTGTTATTTCTGTTCACCATAGGTAACCGAATAAATGTTGTGAAATCGTTTGAGTTTCTAC